CATTATCATCAGGGCTTTTCAAAAATATTCTGATTGACAAGAATTGTATGTAAAAGCATTTACAGTGAAGAGTATGATGGCTTAATACATGTATTTACTATGAACAGACTAAATCTATTTAATTAAAATATCCATTACCTAACATACTTTGTCATTTTTTATAGTGTGAACATTGAAATCTACTCTCTTTGCAATTTTTCAAGACTATAATACCTTGTTACACTTTGATAACCATATTGTAAGATTGATCTCCTGAATTTAGATGTTGTAATCATCATCTCCCCAATCTCACCCACCACAGACTCTAGTAATTGCCATTCTTGTCTCTGCTTTGATTAATTCAACACTTTTGGATTTCACTTGTAAATAAGCTCATGCAGTATTTGCCTTCCTGTGCCTGCTTTATTTCGCTTAGCATAAAGTCTTCCAAATTCATCCACATTGCCACAAATGACAAAATTTCTTTATTTGACAGCAGCACATTAATGCCAATAAACAATGAAGCCAACACACAAAGACACATAAAGGAAGAAAATGAGAAAGGCATAAATGCCATAGACAAAAAGTAATCAACCCATAGGAACTCTGGAAATGTCATTCTAATTGGTCCTTCCTCTGGAATTTATTAGAGAACAAGTTTTAGACAACTGAAATGACTAAGGGGACATTGACAGAAAAATTAGGAGAAGCATTAGATGCACATTTACTCATTACATTAATTAATGAAAAAGGTATCCTAGACTTTAATGACTGCATAATATGGTAATATAAATATTGCATAATTCTTTAAAAATAGGGAAATAATGGAGACAGTATTTGGAAACACATCTGACCTCTTTCAGTAATCAAATAGATTCTCTTAGTTGTTATTCTGAGACTGCTGTATATGTAACATTAAAAAAATTAAGTGAATATTCTGGAACATTCTGTTCTGTCACTCCTTAAATCCATGAGAGCCAGGATTCTCAGTGTAGATGGAAGAAAACACAGATGTAGTATGGAAAAGGAAAATAAAATCCCAAATGTTAGAATGAATTTTCTGGTATAAAAGCTAGAATCCATGTCATATGCAAGTCTGATGAGTAATTGTGGAGCCTAGATTCTGGTCTTTATATCCTATTTCTTACAAATAATGGGTCATCTGAGAGAAATGGCTGATTCGAGGTCTGAAGTGAAAATTGTTTAAGACACTCTATTAGGACGTATATTTGGACATACCAGAAACTCAGGAAAGACCATTCTGTAGTGTTAAAATATTTCAGAGACAAATTGAGAGAAGCTCACGTTAACCAATGATAGCACAAAATAAAGTACTAAGGAGAATAAAATTAATAATTCCTTTAAATCTATTAAATATTTTTAAATCCAAAATTTTGCAAGGATATTTAAACTAAAACTAATTGGTCAGCTTTTGAGAATGACTGAGAACTACTTTATAATTTTGAAAATTGAATAAGTAAAAAAATAAAACATTTATACTGCCTCTACTTTAGGAACTATATTACTAGGTAATCAAATAGCAGATGAGAGGAAACATTGTCTTATAGAATTATACCAGCTAATAAATAAAAACGAAGCAAGAGATTATATTACCTTTTTTGCAACCCCAGTAAATTAATGTATGTGTGTTTTGAATAATAACTGTTATAAACATTTAAAAAGAGCAAATAACAGACATTACATGCCTCCTGATGAAAGCCTACAGTTTTGCCAAAGGGACTGAACTTGAATCCAACTGAGTGTCTGGATCCTGCTACAAATTTGCAGGAAAGACAAAGCATAGCGAAACATATGGAATTTCATCATAAGTAGGGAGTCAGCAAAATCCACACTGCTGACTCTGGAAGGTCAAACCCTCTGAATTCTTCATTGATAGATTGTAAGAAAGGGAAAGAAATGGTAAAGAACAAACACCTTGTAGATTAAAAGAGGTATAAAAGATACTATAAATGAGCAAGATTGAACTACATAGTATCTGAGGAAATTCACTAATGAAAAATCCATAAGAAATGGCTTACTGTGCACATCAGGATCAAGTATTCTGGAGGCAGGGCTGTGCTATGACTGGGACGGATCCTTGGGAGTACTTCTGGAGAGGCTGCCAATATTCCACTTATTGAAATTAGTGTTGGGCCGGGCATGGTAGCACATGCTTGTAATCCCAGCACTCGGGAGGCTGAGGCAGAAGAATCACTGTGAGTTCAAGTCCAGCCTGGGCTACATAGTGAGTTCTAGGTCAGTCTCAACTACATAGTGAGACCCTGTCTCAAAAAAACAAAACAAAAACAAAATTAGCGTTGGTTACAAAATTGTTTGTCTTATAATAATTTTCTAAGCTATATATTTGTTTTGTGTGTTTTGTATAGCTTTGCTTTATTTTACACAAAAAGTAATAAAATATAAGAATATCTCATTTTAAATATAATTTATATATCTACATTAAAGGTACATTTTGAAGGCAGGAATACTTTTAAATTAGTTATGTATAGTTTTCTAACCCACTACACAGAATCCAGAGTTCTTAAAAATATACATAAAATATTATTAATAGATAGTGTGATATAGGAAGAAAATTTCTAAAGGAGAAGGGGAAGTAGGAAGAGTGAGGGAAAGGGAATAAGGGAAAAGGAAAAATATGAAAAAAGGAAAAATGGAAACAAAGTCTTTGTAAATAGGGAAGGGTGGGGGGGTAGAGGGAGTGCAGGAGTGAGGAGAAAAAATAAGAACCAAGATACATCATGTAAAGGTACAGGATCCCAATGATGAATGTAACTGTAATGTTTACCTTAAATATACCAATAAACTTGAAAAAAAAAGAAATGCAGTGTTTTAGGCCTTTTTTTGTTACCTCATGGTCAGAATATGATAGGTAACATTTATTAAGAATTCACCACATAGCAGGTACTGTGCCAAATACTTTACATGAATTGTCTCAATTAATCCTCCATACAGCCTTGAAAACAGTGATTGTAATTATTATACTAAGGACTATTTTGGGTAAGGAGACTGAAGCTTAGAAAAGTTTAGTCCTGTGCCTTGGGTCCCCTAACTCAAGTGACACATAGAGAATTTGAACCTAAAAGTCTCACTTCAAAGTAAACTATTTTTACCTCCAAAACTAATGTTCAACAAATACTGCCTAATAGTTTCATAAAAGTAAAACATATCTTTTTTTTCTTGACTAGTTATTTTCTGTTCATTGCATCATTCTAGACAAAAAAAATCAATTGTTTGTAGTAAACTGAATAAATTATACCAAATGAATATAAATACTGTATTATATCACATTAATCTGACAATATATTAAATAAACATTTGGTAATTTTTGAGAAGAAGCACAGTCTCATATACAATAAGTATTTAGGTCTGGTAGTCAAAAAACAGAAAACAAAGAAACTCCATTCCCAAATTTATGAACCTTGGAGTCATTTACTTTCCAACAGCCTGCTTCTTTACCAGCTGTTTAAATTTCCCAGTGACTCTCTTAATTGATACTAAATAAGCAATATAATATTGCATAGTGATCAGAAAAACCAATGACCATGTTGATCATTAAAAGAAATTCAGGGGCCAGGGATTTAGCTCAGTGGTTCCAGCGCAAGGACCTGAGTTCAAACCCCGGCACCAAAAACATTAAAATTAAAATTTAAAATTTAAATAAAAGATATTTAAGTGGTAAAAAATTAATAATAAAATATTGCTCTGTTTTAATTCCATTTTATACACTGCTTCAATGTTAATATCAATCTTTGGGGTTTTTTTGTTTTTTTGAGACAGGGTCTCACTGTGTAGTTCAGACTGCTCTGGAACTTACTGTGTAGCCCAAGCTGGTCTCGAACTCACAGTGATCCTTCTGCCTCAGCCTCCCAAGTGCTGGGATTACAGGTGTGCACCACCACACCCGGCCTTTAATATCAATCTTTGACACAGGAGGTTTTCACAGTTTCAGACTATGGAGGTATATAGGAAATCAATATTGCATAAGAAAATTAATGTAATTATTATAATCCATAAACATGACACTCTTGAGTGGGAACAAATTAAAAAGTTGTTACACTCAAAACAATACAATTTCATTGAATTTACCTTTAGGTATTCCAAGAACAACTCATATAGACAAAATTACTGAATAAGCATGAAGACTGCTGAAATATTTTGATTTGCAAGTGTCTAAAGATAGAGTTAACAATATTACTACAAAGGGTAATTTAAGGATTTATGAATGTCAATATTAAACCAACCTCTTCAATTAATAAACATCTGATATTTTGTCTAATTATGTTAAAAAGGGAAAATGTGAGAGAAAAGTTAGGGATAAGAAAAATTTCATCCCAATAAAAGCCATAATTGAAACTGTGGGTCAAATTGCAATATCTGAATTTCAATATAACATATTACTTTAATAAAATAGCACACAAACACTACATTCCAGAATCTCACTTAATTTTAAGGACACTTCAAAATTGTAGAGTTATGCTTTGATTTTTTTTTTTTTATTTTGAAACAGGGTCTTACTATGTAGTTTAGGCTGGCCTTGCACTCACTATGTACCTCAGGCTGGCCTCAAACTCAGAGATCCTCCTGCCTTGGTCTCCCAAGAGCTGGGATTACAACCATGGGCCACCATGCCTGGCTATACAGTTAAACTTTAAAATTCATGTAAGTATCAGATGGTCTTTATTTCACAATGAAGTGGTTATAGTAACCTTGTATGTTTGGTATGTTTTTCAAATGTTATTACTAACTTCATTAGAAATAAGCTTGTTGCTATTATTTTTACTGACTTATAACCACTAATGCTGTGTGAATTTTGTTACTGCTCTTGTTTCCAGATTCTGGAATAGTTTAAAAATCTACTTACCTGAAAATATCATTCTACCCATCTGTGACGCCTTTTTCTTTGATTCTCCTTTCTTCTTTCCTCTTTTTTCTCTTCATCTACTAAATAATAATTATCAACTGCTCATAGTGTCCTAAAACCTATATAAGATGGACACAACGTGGGCTTGTGAACTCTTTATGTCTAGAAAGGGAGAAAAACAAATACCCAGGTGACTGTCCTAAAATACAATAGTTGCAACATAGGATTAAGCACTAGACAGCCCAGGAGCATGAGGACTGGCAGGGTACATGGAGAGCACTACTTCTTTGAACATCATTGTGACCAACAGTGAGGAAAACAGCTCCAAAACCAGCAAGTAGAATAAAAAATTTTTTCCATAAGATTGTCTGCAGCCAGACCTGTCTCCTTCTAAAGCCCCTGAATCATTGCTCTGTTGAGCTGGTCTTCCCTATTTAAAGCACCACTTTAAAAAACGTTGCCCTTAATGCACTAAGATTAGGAAATTGACAACTCACAAAGCAGTCTGTGGGCACCAGGGCTCAGAGGAACAGGCCCTGAAAGCAGAGGCTCTATTTGTTAGCCCAAACACACAACTTGCTATAATCCCTTTTTGCCTTCTGTGCTTCTATAATACAGGCCTTCTTCGATTACACAACACTTTGAAGATCTCACCTTCTCCCATTACTTGTCTTCCACATAAAATGCCCACAGATGTGAGACTGTTAGAATGTGTGAGAACTGCAGTTGATAATTTATAAACCAATACTTCCTCTGGTTTGAAATGTTAGGATTCAGTGACCTAAGAGGGCCTATTGCTGCAGGAGCAGCCCCTACTGACTACAAAAAAGTACTGTAAAAGGGAGTGAAAAGCAGACCGGCCTGAAAGCAACATGCAACACTTACTATCTAATGATTAGCCATTATTGTCTGACATTCTATGATTGGTTTAAGGGGACTGAGATTACACATTCAAGTGGTCAAAGTAATTGTCTTTTTTAATTTTAAAATTAACACATTTAACAATTTGACCTCTTCTAGAACAATAACAGAAAGAATTGTGGTCTTAGCATCTTGGAGATGTTCTAATTGCTTTGTTGTTGTAGCTTCACTCAGTGCAGTCAAATCGGTTTGTGTAGTGTATTGGAATGTAACATGAATGGAATGACACACACAAAGAAACACCCAAAGAGACCTTGCTCTTGTGTGGGGGCATATGATAATGTAAAATAGGCAATTTTCCCAAATATGTCTATAGATTCAGCATAGTATTAATCAGAACACTAATAGAATATCCTTAATAAATATAAGTTGATTCTTAAACTCATCTGTAAAATGATGCACAAGATATATTTTTAATCTGATATACCAAATGTCAAACACAATACAAAATTACAGTAGCCAAAACATTATGGTACTGGAAAAGTAAATGTACTAAAAACATCCAGGTGTATCAGGGAATGTATAATTTGATAGAAGGGTCTTATAAATTAATTAGAAGAGGATTCGATGTGTGATGTTGAGATAAGTAGACATAATGCCTACCTTAAGACATATATAAGAAAAAATTACAGCAGGGGTAAAAATCTAAGCAAAAGTAGTAATAAAGGCAACAGGATGATATATAGGATGACATTTTTGTGATACTAGGAGGAGGTAGGTCTTCCAAAACCCAACATAAAACTAGCCACATTTTCAAGCTCCAAAAAAATGCACTATCTTACAAGTTTATTTAACACATCCCTAGTTTATATTCCTCTTGTTCAGTTTCAATCTCTGGATCATGCATATGTTAAAACATACATATGTTGCTATTGTGACTAGTTGGGCTATTTTTCTATTCTTTTTTCTATCTCTTTTCTTTTCTTTTCAATAGAAAAAAATGAGGCACATAGAAATAAAATTACTTAGCTAACAAGTATGAAGCCATGGAGACATTTTCAGGAGTTTAGGAACATTAAATGTCTTTTCAAATACATGGACTTCATCAAACCAGTTCAAAATTCACAGACACTACCTGGAGCATCTAGGTGTCTGGGGTTTATTTTCAATACTCTTTTCTTTTATATCCCAGTCCAGAAAACCAACCACAACAACTACAAAAATAAACACCAAGAAGCAGAAAAAACTTAATCCTCTTCCTGTCTGGAGAAAAAGAGGTGAAAGATAACAAATTTTTCTACAAGAGAACACACTTAAAGCTAATATGAACAGGCACATTAATGACCACGATGATCTTGGAAGAAAACAACTTTAAATGCCTAAAACTCCACTGTCAGAACCCTGGTATAATCTGCTGAAGAAGCCACTACTTGCAATTTAACGTTCCAGTAATTGTTCCATAAAAAGACCCTTGAGCCACTGTATGAAGGAAATGGTCTAGACAGCCACATTCCAAGAATGTGCTCTTGTGTTTGTAGCTGATTGAGTTTACACTCTCCTCCTGATTCACAAAGAGGAGCCAGTGTGCCAGTGGGCCTGGGGCCAGGATGTGGGTGGTTAAATAAGTGCTTTTGGAGGGAGTGGTGTTCTGGCAACCACATCAGCACACCAGCTGATCAACAAATACAGAAGTTTTGAATGAAATTGGACAAGAAGATAAATTGGATATGCTCTTTCCAATATGTGAAGAGTGGGTATCCACAAAATTTCAAAAGTTTTCCAGACTGTCAAATTTCCAGGCAATTCTGACTATCAGTGTTTCTCTGTGAACTTCATATGGGGAAGACTTGTCGATACCAATTATATATAGGAATTTTGCAATTATGCACACTGTACTATATTTTCTAAACTACCTACATGATTTGACTGCACTTACATAATTACCACAGCATTCCACTTATTGTCAGGTGGGAGGGCAAAAAAATGCAGAGGAAATAATCTAAATGTTTCTAATAGATTTGCAATACATTGGAGAAAAAGTGCCTCCTGCCAAAACTTTTTCTTAATTCATTATAAAAGAACCTTAAATATCACCTCTTTCATGAAGAATTTCATTACTTAATGAAAAACAGTTGGCAATTTCTCCCACACCCATATCTGTCCAGATTCACTCCCCATGATTATCTGTTTGCCTTAACACAGTGTGTTTAAAAGAATTTCAAACATATTTGCCTATGAGTAATGGGTTTTATATTTAAGATATAATATCTCTTATATTTTCATATTGAAAAGTTTCGTATTCTAAATTTTAGAAAATAAAATTATGAAAATGTGGATATAAAAACTTCCTTTCAAGGGCCTGAGATTTCACTCAGTGGTGCCGCTGGCTGCCTCGCAGGCGCAAGGTCCCAGGTTCTACCCCCAGTACCTAAAAAAAGAAACTTCCATACAATTTACATTCTTTCTAGCAATAGTGCTACTATTATCAGCTGCAGTAACACAAAGTTCTTTTCTCCATCAGGCAAAAGAAATAATTAAATTTTTAAAAAAGATGATTTGGCAGCTGCCTTAGGCTGGTACTGAAAGAGGAGAGAACCAAACAACCAAGCAGAGCTCATCTTTTGCAGTTACACCTTAGGTCCTCAGACCATTGCCCCTCATTCCCTTCTTTTTCACATATTTCTCTCTTTTCTTGTGTTAGACATTACTATTATGCATCATTACCAGCTTCTCCTTCATTTCCAAGAACCAAAAGATTATATATACTTCCTGCCTCTGGAAATTAGGTGTGACCATGTCACTAGCGACTAAAAAATATGAATACAGGAAATGAAAAGAGGAAAGAGAGAAATGGCCCCTATAGGTAAAATTATTCTGAACATAGACTTTGTCCTGATCAGTCTCTAGCTTTTAAAAGTCTTGCTGACATCAGTGTATGTCCCTTACACCTATGGTTACCTAAGGATGAATTGTACACTATATCCATTAGAGTTCAGAGATGCAGAACCACTAGGTATAAGACAAATGATAGACAGACAGATGGATAGATAAACAGATACATAGATATAACAATGTAGAAAGATATTTATTACAGGGAATCTTTGAAAGGGTGCTGCCTACAGCTAATGCTGGATCTTGAACCTGGCTAAGAAGTAGAAAAAAACAAGAAGAAACTGAAACCACAATCATAAGATAGAATCACCCCCCACCAAAACACCTGAAATCTATGTCAGTTCTTGTTTCCTCTGATCTGGATGATAACACTGAGGCAGACAGAATAACAGACGCTAAAGATGCCCTAATCCTTGAAACCTGTGAATATGTTCTATTTGTACCAATGGGAAGTTAAGAGTTTCAGATGGAATTGAAAACAACGAGGTTGATTTGAAATGTGAGAGTGATATTTTATTTCAGTAAATGATAGAAACTGTCTCAGCTTCATTTAATCTAAAAGGGGAGCTGAAATGTATAGCACGTGGGTCTGGTTTGAGTAAAAGTTTAACTTTAAAGATAGAATCATGTATAATCCCAGACAGCAGCCTGAACCATTCATTAATACTAACTGTTGTTGGTGGAAATCAACTAACCTAAGAATAAGGCCTATGTCCTGATTCGTCTAGGTGGTCCAATGCAATTATAGGATTCCTAAAAGTAGAATAGGGAGGCAGAAGAATCAGGGTCAGAGCCATGACCTATAGGAAAAACCCCATCAGCCATTGTTACCTTTGAAGAAAGAAGAAGAGATCATGACCCAAAGAATGTGAGAAGCCTCCAGAAGCTGGAAAAAGCAAAGAAAATGGTTGCACTTCTATAAAGCCTCTAGACATGAAGGTGCCCCGGCAGACTTCTTGATCATATCCTAATAAGAAACATGTCAAACATGTCTAGCCTGTAGGACAATAAGATAATAAGCCTCCCTGATTGTGGTCGTTTGTTACAGGAGGAACAGAAACCTAATTTGTGTTCTGCAGAAATCAGGCCCTCCTTCCCAGAGCCTCACGTCTGTAGCAGACCAAGAAGCTGGAGAAGCTAAAGAAGGTGGAAGATCCAGAATTCAGCACAGGGGTTTCAGGCCCAATTTCTATTTCATGAGGAGGTAAGAACACAGATTAGCTATTATATGCATGAGCTACAAAAGAGCTGCTTCTTCTCTGTCATGTTCCAAATCTCCCAAGAATCTCAGCATTCTGAAAAATGTGGTTTAACCTAACTACACTGACACATTATTACTACATCACTGATGTCTTCGATGCCATTTCTTTCCTTCCTTATTTTGGAGAAAATGAATATCAAATTGATTG